TTCGAAGATGGATAATTGACGGAGTACGCACAGTGCGTAGAGCGTAGGTAATTTCAACTCCACGCCACACTGATTTCAAAAAAGTATGACCTGTGAGTACTACGTAACAAATGAGACGACGGATAGTGAATGATAGAAGAACGAGGCTAAATATTTAGTATTTGGGGCAGTGAAACTAAACGCAACAGAGTAATTGTCCAAATGGGTATGAATTTGCGCCCGACACAAAGTAAACCGTAACCTAAAACAAAATTTTAAGACTTACAGTGCCGATGGCAACTGGTAACATACATTCACTTCAAGGCGTTAAAGATCTAATAAAGTATTTCTCTGGTTACTGTCAGCAATATATACGTAGCTAAAAACTTAAAGGGTTCCCCAGCAAAGTGCCCTTGTAAATACTGCTTAAGACCAGTATTCATTTCATACGCGTCAGTCAACAGGTTCTAAAACTTTAGTCAGGTAGAAGAAACAACGTACAAAGACTTTTGACGCTAAAAGTGCGCCTTTTTAATGTAGCGCAAATCCACCAAAACGGTAGAAAAATTTACAACTGTGCCTGTTGAAAATTGAACTATACAAACTGTTTTTTTATGCTCTGAGGACGAAAAAAAAGTTCCCTTGTGATGTAGGAGGGAAAGGTTCATTTTATTTTCCGCCAGTAACCAACTGTGCTTAATAAGAAAAGCAAACCGTAGTTGGCTTATCCCGCGAAATGTTAAACATCATATAACCTTCCTTCGAATACAAAATGTAAGATGTGAGTTCCTACAAAAAGAGTGCGGAAAATGATATTTAGTGCATTTTTATATAAAATATAATCGCATTTATAAGTGTATCGAAATTCGAGTGTGATTTTACAGGCTCTTGGAAAACGTCACGTTCGAAATTCGACATGCTAGCGTGATTAAAATATCTTAAACTTATACTGCTACCATCTTAATCATAACCCCACTTAATTGAAATGCATTTCAGAATTTCGGTTAAGGATTCATGAGGTTCACTGTATTTTTAAACGTCGGGTTAAACGTTCTTCCACACAGATCCAAAATGACATAGAGGTGACCTTGTCATCTGGAACTGTGCGATTATTTTGCTGAAACTGATGGTGGTAGTGTAAAGTAGTTAAATTATTTCCCTAATACAGTAGTCGCCGGCAATTAAGCCCACTTCGGACCCAGACCAAATTGGGCTTAATAAGCGGCGGGCGC